TCAGTTAAATGACGAAAAATTAGGTGTATATTTACTTGTGACCACTCAGTGTATATATCTAAGTGCAGTAACTTTCAAAAAGTCATTTATTGTTTTGCTGGTGTATATTAATATTGGTATCATAAATACCAGTTTCCATTTATAATTAAAAGTCTTATGTTGTTTGTTCTAAACATTAGATCACTTATACTAATTAATACAAAGCTTGTTCTATGTTTAATCTTTTTGGGTTGAAACTTTGTGTTTTATTCACTTTTAAATGTAGTTTTTGATGATGATAATAATGCCAGGTATTATACTTCAGTGTATCCTTGAGATAAAACCCACATTTACAGTCTTTTAAAGATGTATAGTTTTTACATTTCTATTTATTTCTCACATTGTAAAAACAAACATTAAACTAACACACACACACTAAAACTTCAATTATTATGAGACCTAACTTTATGACAAATTTGTTTTGTGTTCGAAAATTCTCCAAAGAGTGACAGTTATACTGTGAAATTATGATATTTAAAATTTGACAGTGAAATGAATTTTCATTCTTCTTTAAAAGGATTGATGAATGTAGTTTATCATATTTAACAAATGAATGATTTATTAAGTAGCTTAAAGATCAGCTGTTAATAGTGGTTGTTGAATGTGAGACTATATATTAAGATTATATTGTACATTATACTCGGTTACATTAGATAGCAGTAGAAATCTTGTGTTCTAAATCTTTCTTAAAGTTAGATGTTTATATTAAAGAAATAATATACAAAGATCTTATTGAGATTTTATTTTGTTTTTATGATTTTACAATTTTTTGTAGGATTTTGTTAATTTATGGTTTAATATTTTTTATTGCATTTTGTTATAGATGCAGTAAACCTTCCATATACATGTAGTTTGTATTGCTTGCCAACATTTATTTAACAATTTTTAGGCAATGGACAGGCACTTCAGGTTCTGGATGAAATGGTATGGAAAAACATATGGCGAATACAAGCTTATCAAAGGGGATTTTCTCACAGATGAGCATAGAGATGCAATTGTCAATGCTTCGTAAGTTCTTTCATCCCATTAATTTTTATTAGGTTTGTCTTTGTTATAACCATAACATATAATAAAGAAAAAGGGGATGTTTTATCGAAATACAAGATAATTTGTTCTAAATCAAATTTCTTCATTGATGTGTCATCATTTTAACATACCAATGGATCAGAATTTACACAGAATGATTAACATCTCTCACTCTCTCTGAGCTAACTCATGCTTTTGCAGCTTCATCTGTAATGATATTCACATTGTATCAGAATTATATTTGTGTGACTGTATAAACAAATTGAAATCTGACTTTTGAAGAATTTAATGTGTATATTTTTGAGAAATTCCAGTTCTCAGTGTTGTCATGGTATTAACATAACATTTAAGGGCAACATAGGACCTATTGGTCCATCTGAGCTGTCTCATCTACTAAACAGAAATTGAAAATAAAAATGAAACACTCACAGCCAGCTATTATCACTCATATATTTATCAAACCTTCCTTTAAAGTCCATTAAATTTACTGCATCAATCAACCATCCTGTTAGAAAAATTAAACTATCGTAGCTGGAGATGATACCTATTCTGCCAAAATTTATATTTGTGTCCTCTAGTCCTCCTGTTCTCACCTTTAAGTATAAAAGAAAAGAAAAAAGATGGTGCATCAAAACTACCAATTCCATTAACAATCTTAAACACCTCAATCATGTCCCCCCTAACTCTTCTTTTTTTTTCAAAAGAAAACATAAGATATTCCATCCAAATCCTTCAAGAACTTAGTTTTCAACTATTTTCACTCTTTCATAAAGTGCCCTCTTGAAATATTTATACTACTAAAGTATTTGATATAGTATGATAAAACAGGTGGACTTTAGAGATGGGTTACTAAGTTCCAGTTCAAATTGAGGTCAGTGTGATACTTTATGATAATTCACACTTTTCAGTATCATGTTAAATAATACAAATTAATTTCATAGCTTGAGTATACATGTTAATTCTTAAATATGCACAAATTTAGTGATGACCCAATTGAAATAGTTACAGCAACGTACTAAAGTAAGTGGAATTCATTATATTTCCATTACATTCCATACCAAATTATATACATTGTTAAGTAAAGATCAACAATTCAACAGACAAGACATGCAGTTGGGCTCAGTGTTTCACATGATTAGTGAAATGATTGATCATCACTTATATGTCAAGGAACTGTTTGCTTAAGAGTTTACTATTTACAAAAGAATTGTCAATTCAGGGCCTAATAAAGTCTTCTCTGCACCATGATAGGGTGTGATGGTAGGAGCACAATGATATAAAATAAGCAAATATATATGCTCGTAAAATATAGAACACTTTAATTGGAACATAAAAGTATGTCTATATACACACACATGCAGGTCTACATTATAACTTAAAATCTTCAGGGTACAGACTTTTAACCTTCAGAGTCCTTACTTATTGCTAATTTCTGTGGGTGGGAGACATATAATTGCTTCATATCAAGTAAAAGAAGCTTCATTTTAAATTAATTGTTGAAATATGTATTATACAATTTACATGTACATTATTAAGTAACGGAATGACGTTTATAGATATTTTTGGTTTACCATACTGTATAGATGCTGGTTGTAGTTAAACCAAGTTTGTTGTGTTTAAAAAACTTTCTGTACTAGACAGCAGTAATAGTACCAACAAATATGATACGATCATATTATAAAGATGATGTGTTTATATGACTCAGTTTATGTGCTGATATTTTAATATTCTAAGCTAATATAAATGCAATAAGTTTGCTTAAATATTTAAAAAAAGTAGGGTAAGATGAAGATTAAGAAATGTTCTTTTCACCAAAGACTAGTGGTGTATTACCTGCTTCACACCTTAAAATAAGTCATTCATAAACTTGCATCTTTACATTTCAACAAAATTCATGGCAATCAGTTGTTATGTTTGGTATGAGAATAAAAACAACATTCTTGGATACATCATATCTAGGATCATGCTTTCATGTAAGTTCTCTTGCTTGATGCAAACTGTATTCTTCACCTTCGGATGATAAGCTCCTTCAGCTCTGCCTACTTTATATAGTCCTGTCAGCATGTAAACTTTCTTGACATTCTGTAATCTTAAGAACAGGCTATTGCTCCATCATTACTTCTCCCGACTATTTTGCACTTTATGTGACATTATCCCAGTCAACATTCCATTTAGAGGATTCCTTTTACTGTTTTTATATCTTGGAAAATTTACATAACACTCTCCTAACTCATAAATGGCTCTCAATTCATAACTGAAGAAACCATCTTTGATAAACCAAGAAAATGCTGATATCTGTTATAATATTATGAAATTAATTTACCTTTGTAGAAAATATAAATCTTATTAAAAATTATAAAAGTAAACAAAGGTTTTGTCTGAATTACCTTAAGTTTTTATAACAGACTTTAAAAATATTTTTAAATACCTATGTAGTTATGTTTGATTTGTAGTTGTTTATGTTAACATATTTTCTGATTATAATCTTTCCTATGAAATAGTTTTATATTGTTATTTTATGGAAGCCTTATTTTTTATGCCTGTAATACCAGACTGTAAAATAAGGTTAATACTGTTAATACCATTTTTAATGGTCAA